GGAACTTTCAAGGTGATACAATCGTAAGTGCAGGAAATGGAATTGACAACGCATCTGTTTGACACCAAAGTATATGCTCTTTTAACTTTGCCATATGGCCTCTCTATACCGTTTCCTTGAATGGGACATCCAAATGACCAAGCCCTTCTACACAATGATTGGTTTTTTGTTTTTTTTTAAACATTTGCATAGGTTATAGAAGCCCAGGGATGTTCTTCATCTTTCATCGTTCAAGATGAGGAGGTGGTTTTGCTATTAACACACAGGTCATATCTGTCTACCATGTCCCTCACTCAGCTCCGGATCCTTCGTCGACCATCTCTGACACTCCCTGCCGACCAGCCGTGGAAGCCTTGCTCTCCTGGGTGCACAGATCACCTGCCAGGTGTTGCTTACAATTTGGAAGGCTGGCTCCAACTCTTTGAGGATCTTAGCCAAGTGCCTGCCACCCTCAAATGGTTGAATCTCTTCTCTCAAGCCTGGCAGGCACTTCCTTGTTTTCTATTTCAACTTTCCTTTTTTAGCAGCTTTTATTTTGAGTACTGAGCAAGAGCCAGTCCAGAATTGCCAAAGATAGTTGCCATGGTTTCACCAGTCCAAACACTACAACTGAGCCTTGAGACAGAAACAATCTGCTATGATCCTGTTCCTGGAAAATAGGTGCGACTTTGCCAAGACTCAGAGATGACTTGCTTCTTAGATGAAAGACATATCAGTGGGTATGTATCTAGATACTATATAGATTTCTAAAAAAGCTGTTTCACAATTGCCTTGGAGTTTTTCAAACAGGAAAAAAAAAGTTATCTATTAACCAAGATACCCCAGTGCTCTTCTATTTATCTCAATGGGAGTGACTAAAATTTGCTGACAGCTTAAAAAAACTATCAGAGAATTATCAGAATGTACCAAGTTTAACAATTAACAACGTTTAAAATCAGAACCCAATTCAGACACTTTTAAATGTAAATCATTGAGTCAGTTACCTAACTAATACTAAAATTCTGATTTTACCATGTTTCCCATTCTTGACACGATTTGGCATGAAATGCAAAAGGGTTGGTAGTAAATGAATGTGAGTTTCAGGTAAAATCAATTGCTACTTTGATTGGTGTAAAGTTCTTTAATTCAACATATTCATTGGGTGCTAATTGGACCGGACTGAGGGTTGGGGGATCTCTGGGAAGGAAAAAAGATACATTTCCAGGATCCAGAGACTTATAGTCTAGTGGAAAATAAACATATTGAATATAAAGACAATCTCAGATATATTGTGGGTTCAGTTCCAGACTACCACAATGAAGTGAATATAACAAGAAAGCAAATCAAACAAATTTTTTGGTTTCTCAGTGCATATAAAATTTCTATTTGCACTATACAATAGTCTATTAAGTGTGCAATAGCTTTATATCTTTAAAAAGCATTCATACCTTAATTAAAAATACTTTATTGCTAAAAAATGCCAAACTTCATCTGAACCCATTGATAAATATGTTGCCAATAGACTTGCTTAACATAGGCTTGCTATAAACCTTCCATTTGTAAAAAACACATTATCTGCAAAGCACAATAAAGCCAAATGCAATAAAACAAAGTATGCCTGTAATTAGACTAATACATGAACAATTAAAAACTCATGGAAAAGATCAATGTGAAAGTGAGAGTTAAACAGTTTGAGGCATCTATTTCCATCTGGAAGATTTCAGAAGGCAACCCGGGGAAATGACATTTCAGCTAAGATTAGCAAAGTGTTTTCCAGTTTCTCAGTTTCTCATCTTTCTCATCAAACTATGGAGAATGACTGAAATATCTTTCTTCCTGTGGTGAAGATAAGCACCCTCTCTTTCTGTTGTGTCCTGGTCCTTCCCTTCTCTCTACACCTCGGTTTGGATCACTTCATTTACTTGAGTGGCTTCAACTAAAACTTCTCTGCAAATCCAACTTCTTCCCTGCATTTTTACCTGCTAGACATCTCTCCCTGTGTGTCCTTCCAGCACCTCCAACTCCAGATGTCTCATCTTTCCCCTAACCCTGCTCTCCTCGTCCTCCTGTCCCTCTTTTTGCTAATTCTGTCAATTGACAGATGCCACTTGGTGAATGAAAAATCCTGTGTCCATTCACCATCCACAGTATTAACCCTTCTGAGGATGACATACAGGACTCCCCACAATTCATGCCAACTGACCTTAGTAGTTTGGACCACTACCAGACCCTCCAACTCTCCACACTGAAGTTCTCAAGGTTTCCTGAGCATGCTACCAAGTTCTTTCACATATTTGTGATTTTGTAAATTAATTTTTTAAAAGTCAAAGCTGACATATAATATTATCTTAGTTTCAGGTATATAACGTAGGGATTGACATTTATATGCCTTCCAAAGTGATCACTATGGTAAGTCTAGTAACCATCTGCTACTGTACAAAGTTATTATGGCATTATTGATTATATTACTTATGCTACACATAACGTCCCCATGACTTATTTATTTTATAGCTGGAAATGTGTCCTCCTAATCTCATTTACCTTTAAAAATTTTTATTTATTGATAAGAGAGAGAGAGATTGATTTGTTGTTTCACTTATCTATGCATTCATTGGTTGATTCTTGTATGCTCCCTGACTGTGGATCAAACCGGCAACCTTGGCATGTCATCAGGATGAGACTCTAACCAGCCATGGCCCATTCACCTTTTTGCATATCTCTCCATACCCCCTCCTCTTTGAAGCTGTTCCTTAGCTTACAATGTTTTTTTCATCTAGTTCTCTGGTAAATTCATATTCATTTTTAAGACCTACTTCAACTGTCACCTCCTCTGTGAAGTCTGCCCAGATTTTCTCAGATAGAATCTGACATTCTCTCTAATCATCTTCTCTAGAACTTTTGCAGGTGCTACTAAGGCATCTATCATCATAGATCATTAGTATTAATTTTTCATGACTGCCTGCCACATCAGCTTTGAGCACCCCAGGAGCAACAGCCCTGTATAATTCACCTTTCATTCTCTTGGGGATACGATGTGGGACAGGAAGTAAATGTTCATTGAATGAATTAATAATGAATGAACCAATGAACGGACTCTTCTTGTGGCACATATTGCTTTCTACTTTATATTGCCTTGTTTGGGTATCTCAAGTCCCTTCCTGGATTGACAAACCTCCATGGCAATAACAATGTAATTCATTTTTGCATCCCTCACCACAGCCTACCCTTATGTCTATCTAAATCAATGAGGGAAACTCTTGTAAGACATTGTGTCATATGTCAAAATTGCAAAGCTATCTTCACACTTATTGCTTCACTTGATTTTCACAAAGACCTTAGCGATGACAAATTGATCTAGCCATGACAAATAAGTGTAATCCTTATGTAGCAGATAGAGCAATTGAGTAAAGCCTTGGAACCCTGCTTTCTTGGTTTTAGAACAATGCTTATTCCATGCAATGTTCTTGAGAAAAGGAAGATCTGCTCAGAAGGTCCTTGTTTTGAGAGGTTGGCGGTGAGTGTAGAGATTCACCACTGCTTGAAAAAAATAGCTAAACCCTTATCTATCCTTCCCATATGAATTTAGCATAACTTCTGCAAGCTTGAAGGTTTGGAATACAAATCAGAAAGGGACAAATAAGGGGGTAGAAGAATCTGGACCCTTCAGATATCCTTTGGGCAAAAAAAGACTTTAGGGGCCCGGAAAGAGACCCTCCAGCTTCCATAAGATGAGGTACTTTATAAGGCGGCATCAAGAAGCACTAAGTAATACTTCTAAAACACCTAGATAGATGTACTTTTAAGTCCAAGTTCTTCCACGAGAAAGATATCAAAACTGCTGAGAGAAAATGAAATCTATATACCCTTGGCTCACTGCAGCATGCTGTTGTGTTTATGCATTTATGTACTTGTAGCTCTGGGCACAAAGTCTGGCATGGGTGAGCCTTAGGAGGGCCTGGCAGTGGTAGCCTGAGGTCCAACTGGAAGCTGAGTAAGGCTGGAATAGAGGAAACTACCCAGTATCAGGAGCAGCACCCAACCAGCCTCCCAGGGAGCAGGCCAATCCCTGCTCCAGGGACCTGGCCAGAGTCTTAACCAATACAACCCTGGGAGGCCTAGTTATTCCTCAAGCACCAAGAGGCCCTGCTCAGCAGGTTGTTCTGGAAGCATTGCTTATTCCCACTGACCCACTCCATAGAACCCGACTGGCCCTCCTCAGAGGGAGGCTACCCCACTGACTCCATCTTTCCTCCTGTGAGAACGGTGCCCCCCACCCCACAACCTGTTTCTAAGAAGGTAGTCTCTGTCCCCATCCCTGCCAAGTTGGGCCAAAGAGCCAAGTTTTCCACACCAGCGGCCTGAGCTACTCCGGGAAGGGGGCAGGGCAAGAGGGGGTGGAGGGCAAGATGAGAAAGGAAGAGACACTTGCCAAGAAAGCCCTGCAGCCCACAGCAGACCTGTGACAATCATGGAACCACAGTGAATCGGGGTCAGGAAGGTGTTTGGCAATAGCTTGCTCCAGAGTCCAACCCCCTTTTTTTTCTGAATGGGAGCTGCTCAAGGTCGTTTTCCTGGGGGTCAAGATAACAAGACATTGTGGTGCATGCCTGCTCCAAATGTGGGTGTGGAGTGTCCAGGCCAGGTTGGAGCAAATGGCTTATCTTTGTTTGGGGCAAGTGATAGACCTTTGTGCTAACCCGAGGTAGGAAGTAGGACTCTCTCCCCTGACCTTTCCCTACCCCCCCCCCCCTTGCTTCAAAAATTACAGCATGCATAGGCTTGGCAGCCTTCCAAGGGAGAAATTCAAAGCCTCGCCCCAGACCTTCCACAGACTTCCAGCCCCGGGCTTCAATCCAGGGGCTCACCATGCCTTACCCCGCAGGGAGGGCTCTATACGCGGTGCTGTGGACTCCCTAGATCCTCGCCAGAGCTCAGAGGACCCAGGGGCTCCTGGGCACAGCCCCCACCCAAGGCCGCCCCGCACTGGATGAGGTTTGGAAAGGCGCTCAGTCGCGACTGACCTGAAATGCCGCCCCCTACCACGACCACGTCACATTTGCTGCTCATGGTGCCGGCCCTTGGGTGCCCGCTGCTCTGGTCTCTGGATCTTGGTTCCCGCCCGCTGTGCTGCTGCTGCCCCCGCGTGCTCCAGCCTCTGCCTAGCCTTTATATTGCCTGCCTGGGACACCCCGCAGCGGAGCCCCGCCCGCGGTCCGCGCGCTGGCGCTGGCCGCTGGCCGGGAGGAGCCCGTGGCCACTGACACCGCCCACTGCTCTGCCGCTGAAACCTGGGGGGTGAGGGGGCTGGGCTAATTTTGGGAGAAGAGGTTGCCTGGGGCCTGCAAAAGTCCTTCCCTGCAGCTACCACCCCTTTGCCTTCTGCACAGCATTCTCCATCAGCTTCCCTAGTGCACATAGGTCTTGGCGGTTAGGAGGATGGAGGATTGGGGTGCCTTCCGCCAACACCCCAGTTACTTTCTGAATGGAGCAGCAGGGATCATAGCAAATGCTAATCCAGCTCTTTCCAGGCACCAGGCACCTTACTAAATGCTTTACATTGCAGGATTCCAGTTAGTCCTCACAACCCATTTTATAGATGAGGAAAGAGAAATAAAGTAGTGAGTGAGGGATGAAGGCTAGATAAAAAGCTAGAAAGAAAGAAAAAAACAACAACAAGATTATGACCCACCACACAGCATTGTCATTAACTTGGGTGGGATTCTCAGACCTCCTATCTTCCTATCAAATAGACACTTCTCTCTCCCCCCCCCCCCCCCTTATGCCCACAAATAACCCAGGAAGGGTCCTCCCTAGTATTGAAAATGCAGAACTCAAAGACAATCTTAAACTGCCTCACTTTTACAATGATCTAATAGTGAACTGTTCCTTGAGCAAATCAGTATGTCAGTTCTGGTAACTGTTGTGTCAGGAACCCAGATAAAGTGGTGGTGGCAGGGGCAAGAATTTGGATGGGCAAGGTGGATCTTAGAGCCCCGCCCTTAGACAGCAAGGGGAGCTATTTATGGCCCTGGAATATGGGTCTGGGGACCTCGGCATTGCCAAACATAGGGGTCATCGAACAAGATAACAGGTGTTTGCTAATTGGAAAGAAAATGGGTGCTCTTGTGTTCATTACAGCATTATTTACAATAGCCAAGCTATGGACACAGCCCCAGTGCCCATCAGTAGGTGAGTGGATAAGGAAGTGGTGGTACATCTACATTCAAGCAGTTGTCCAGGCCTGTTCAGGTTTCTATGTTTCCTATGTGGAGTAACTCCCAAGATCCATCTTCTCCCTCGGCGTCATGTGGTCAGATGAGGCCTCTAAAAGCAATGCTTCTCAAACTTGAATGTGTGTCACCCAGGTCTGGGGGTCTGTTAAGCTGCACTTCTTTCTTTCTTTCTTTTTTTCTTTATTGATTAAGGTATTGCTCTCCAACCCCAATTCATGCCCTCACCCCTCTGGTGTCTGTGTCCATTGGTTAGGTTTATATGCATGCATACAAGTCCTTTGGTTGATCTCTCCCCTTATGCCCAACCTCCCCTGCCTTCCCTTTGAGGTTTTATGGTCTGATCAATGTTTCTCTGTCTCTGGATCTGTTTTTGTTCATCAGTTTATATTCCACAGATGAGATCATGTGATATTTATCTTTCTCTGACTGGCTTATTTCACTTAGCATAATGCTCTCCAGTTTCATCCATGCTGTTGCAAATGGTAAGAATTCATTTTTTTTTTTTACCACAGTGTAGTATTCCATTGTGTAGATGTACCACAGTTTTTAAATCCATTCATCTGCATTTCTTTTTTCTTCTGTTTATTGATTTCAGAGAGGAAGGGAGAGGGAGAGAGAGATAGAAACATTAATGATGAAAAAGAATCATAGATCGGCTGCCTCCTGCATGCCCCACACTGGGTTTTGAGCCCTCAACTCAGGCATGTGCCCTGACCTGGAATCGAACTGTGACCTCCTGGTTCATAGGTTGAAGTTCAACCACTGAGCCACACTGAAGCTGCATTTCTAACAAGTCCCAGGTCATGCTAGTGTTGCTGATCCCATGGACCACACACCTTGAGCACATTCTCTTCTGTTGCAGTCTTCTGCTCCCCATCAGTTCCAGAGCTAGCTCCATTCTCCAGAACCTCTTACTTGTCTCAAGATGATCCTAATGGCATGGTATTTGTTCATTATGCAAGCATTTGTGGAATACCTGCTATGCTGGGCCCCATAGAAGAAGTGAACAAAATGGAGGCTGCACACCTTTAGGACTTAGCACAGCCATCACAAAACTAATAGTGATAAAAGAATAATAATAGCGAAAATTTAACAATACATAAAATATTAAGAGGCATAATTTATTTTTGTGTGTGGTTTGTGTCTTTTCTTCCCAAGTAGATAATAAAATCCTTCAGGAAGAAATCATGTATTATCTCTTATTCATCCACTCAAGAACATTTTATTGAACACCAAGCCCTTGCTTGTTGTTAGAAATAAGCTCTTATAAATAAGAGATTTTGGTAATCCTGGGAAAACAAATATTGAAAAGACAATTACAATAAATCTAATTCATGTTCCAATGGAGCAATGCTCAACAACTCTTACCAAGAAGCACGGAGGAATGCTCTTTGCCCCAAACTGTTTATTTGCCTTTCCAACTTGATGAAATCCATGTTTCTTTCATCAATTAAAATGAACTCGCTTTCCTTTCATTTTATTATATTAAAAGACTGCCAAGAGATAAAAATCTTGTTATTATTTCTTTCTTGCTATCCAGCTTTTCATTAGCAGATATTTCAGTGAGTTTCTCATGAAGCCACATGCTGTTTCAATAAAGAGGCAAGCTGTGTAGAACAGAGTTCACCTGATATTATCTAAGTTGTACATTTTATTTTTTTTTCTTTTCGTTTTAGTACTGGAAACTTGACAGGGAATGGGATTTTGAAAAAATATATTATATTCTTTAGAGCTTACCAGTTTATTTCCCCCAACTTCTCTGCTAATTTTTCTGTTTTAAACATACACTTGGGGATCAAATGATGCAAGGGTCAGCCATTGCAGCCAGGACAGCTCTTTAACAATGTAGAATCAGAATTTTAACTATTTAACAACTGTAAATTGTAAATTGTGGAGTTTTTGATTCTGTCCAGTGAAGTATCCATCACCAGCTGGATCCTAATATGAGACTGTCCAAATCCCCAGGAAGACAGCTGGGGAACCTTCAGTGGCCATGGACTTGCTTTTGCCTCAAGGACTTGCTTGAAGGCAATCATGTCCTTAAACAGCCCAAGAGTTGGGCGGACTTAACTTCAATCCAAGTTAAAGCCAGTCATGGGACATTAGACTAAAGATTGGACATCCAACTCAAAAGTTTCTAAGCTGGTTTAAGAAGCCAAAGGCAAGACCTGCCCCAGGGCGTGAAACCAGATGAAAGTCTAGAAGACAGGAAACAAGCTGAACTGGCTGACAGCTATGCAAACGCACTGAGCTGACTTATAAACACATAGTTGAGATGGAAGAGAAATGACTCTGCCTGGTCAAAGAACCAGAGTATAGCTTTTTCTTCTATGACTTAATTGCCACAGAATGAGCAAGACAGGGACAAAGGGTACAACACAGAGGAGTGGGCATTACAACATATGAGTCAGGCAGAGATACTAAGCTATAAAGCCCTAGAAAGGTAGAGGTCAAACCTAGATATGTTATAGAGCATGTTGAAGAAAAACAAACTGCATTTGAAACATAAGTGCTAAACAAACTGCCCAAGGTGATTTTTATTACAATGACTGAGATCAAGACTAAGAATATTTCCACAAGTCACATCAAGACTGGCAAAATAGATGATAGATGCTGAAGCTGGGCAATAGGTGCATGAGGAAATATGTTATACTATGCTGACTATCTGTGTGCATTTATGAAAATGTTCAGAATTACAGATTTTTAAATCTGTTGAATATCATTTTATTAAGCACATTTTATGTTCAAACGGTTTGATAATTAATAATTGGTTCATAAATTTGTTTTAATTTAAAACTAGATTGGGTGATAAAGAATTTGCTGTATTCTAAAGAAATAAAGTTTTTCCAGCTTTCTTGTTGCCTATTTTAGTAAATCATTCTGTTTCTTAGTTCTCCACCTGGAATTACCTAGAAGAATACAAAAACAACAACAACAACAACACAAAAATCAAAACACCTTTCTGTTTCCTAAAGGCAGGTGAAAAGTTATTACCTTACAACCTTAAGATGACAGATAATGTGAACCACGTAGACCTTTGGAGTTATTTGGTCTCTATCTCTGCAGTCACCTCCCTATAGGAACCCACCTAAAGCTTTGGGAACAAGGAGCAAGGTCAGCATCAGGCAGGTCCTAACAATGAGACATGGAACAGCCAGACATTTCTAAATAGTAATCTCATCTCTGATACCCCTAACTGCTGAAAACAACAGCAACCATTTCATAGTCAAGATTAGAACACATGATTCTTGGCTATGAAATACAAGTAAAATAAAGCCTAAGTGTTGTGAAGTTATCATGACCTTTTGTGTAATTGTAGTGCCTACTTGTATGATACCCTGCTGTATGTGTGACATTTACCAATAAATTCCTATAGCCAGGTATGCTCAGCCTCCAACAAAAAGCAATAGTTGTCGTTGGTGTTGTAAATGAAAACTTTGACCTGCTGGGCTGAGAAAGGATTTATTTGGCAATGGCTGTTTATGCTTTCTGGCACTGAAGTCAAGTCATTCAATCACTGCTGAGATTTCAGGAGCAGCTTTGGGTATTTTCAGTCACAATGTTCATTATAGAAGTGGCATTATGTTCATTGATAGCAAAGTGCTAGGTGGAACAAATACTTTTGGTATTAAATTTCCATGATTAATTACTCAAATAATTGAGACTGAAACCAGTTGTTTCCCTACATTATCAGAATACAAAGTTCCTCTGTGTAACTCAGGTTTGGGTTGTACAGAACTATAAAAGACAGACTCTCACCACTGTATCCTCCTGGAAAAAAAATTCCTAGGGCTTAAATGATCTCCTCTTCTTTTTAACATTTCAGAAGTTACA